AGATATTGATATTGATACTGATGTTGAGAGATAGACATGGACCGGATCAGGAAGCTGTCCAGACAACAGAGTGAAGATGGCCACTTATCCTGGCAAGGAGGAAGAAAACAGTTTTGTACACGGAACACAAATTAAATGTTACAAAATCATAATTTGCTGAAAAGCAATCAGGGGAATCAAAGTTGAGGTATCCAAAAGCTAGGATTTAAGAGTAGGTGGATAACATTTATATGAGATTGCATGATTGGTTATAGGCACATTAACTGCAAACAGAGGTACTCCTCAGTTTATTACAGGATGGTCACAGGTAATGACTGGACAGTGTTTTTGAGTAACCTGCTATAAATATTGTTTTCTCATGTCTGGTTATGGGGGCTTATGGTAAATACTCATCTTGTATATTAAGACCCTTGGTTATAGCTATCACATCTTTTAGTGGTTTGATCATAGTGAAAAATACTCTGGAAATAGATATTGATATTCTGTACCAGCCAGGCCTTAGAGAAAATAATGATATGGTCAATATCAAGGTTAGAGGAACTGCTGTTAGAATAAGAAGCTTTAAAATTCAACATGGGTTCTAGACTCATGTCAAGACTTGAAAACAGAGTTGTTGTTAGGTCCTGTCATAGGACTCTGCTTTCAGACTGCTCTATTCACCCACCCCAGCAAAGTACCTCCGATTTTAATTAAATGTTTGATATTATCTATGCAACTTGTCCTTGAATTTATAATGAATAGATTCAGGCCTACATTCAAAATTATCATATTTATGAAAATATAGTCACTTCCAAAATAATTATGAATTGATGTGACAAAATATATAATAAAAGTTTTACATGAAGTAGAATGGAACCTTAAATGTAACAAATATAAATCTGCAACTGAGCAAAAGCATTTATAAAACAAATGTTATTTAGAGAGAGTTTTGAAGGAGGGGGAGGTAAATTGTGTCTAGAAACTTGAAGAATCCTTTGGAGATGGGAAAATAGTTCAGCCAAGTATGTTGTTGTTGTTGTTATGTGTCATCGAGTCAGACCCGACTCATAGCAACCCCTCCTTGGGTTTCCGAGGCAGTGGAAGTAGATTGCCCCATCTTCCTTCCAAGGAGTGGCTGGTGGGTTTGAACCGCCAGCCTTCTGGTTAGCAGTCAAGTGCCTTAGCCACTATGCTACCA